TCTTGGGGAGTAGATATAAACACAATGTATTTTCCATGGCCTTAGGAAGGACCTTGTTTTTAAAGAGAAGAAATGGGTGCATATAAAGATTTTTCAGTGTGTGTCTACAGAAGCATGGGAGAGCCTTAGTGTTTTCTACACTCAGACTTTCAGGGCATTATAATTTAAAAAAAAGCTTTCTGGATGTTTGGTATTTCTTTTCATATGCTGGAATTCCAAGGCTTGTTGCTATATTGACTTCGCACATTTGTCTCCACTATCAGATAAGCCATGTGTTCTGCCCATTGGGTCCCTCAGCCTTCAGAGCTCTTCCCTGGGTCTCCTTTCGTCATAGGGTCCTTTGTGCAGCTTGGCTCCTACCCCGTAATGACCTCAGAGCTTTCACTCCAGGGCCATTTCTGAAAAAAAGCATGGCTATTTTTTCCTCTGTTTTAGATTTCTTGTTTCCTCTGTCTCTATTTTCACCTTTGCAAATTGGACTTTCAACCAAGGAACTAAAAGAAATGATATATATATTTTTTTTCCTTAAATGGGTGGATATTTGGTCACCTGATACCTAGATGTCATTCCAGGTGCTTAATGTATGTTGATATTCTGATAATGTAAACCAAAGTTTTTTTTTTTCTTTAGGAACAAATTAACATGGACAATGCATACTGTGTAGGTGGTCAAGATAATAAAAGGTTAATTTGCTATTTAGAGGTTTAAAAAGAACACATGGAAGCATTTGATACTAATTACACATTCCGGGTAGACTTGAGAGAGCTTTCCTTCCTTAGTACACCCAACAGTTATAATGCTACTATACTGAATATCATAAACGAATGCCTTACAAAAAAAAAAAAAAAAAAAAAAAAAAAACCTTTGCGTTTGTATGGAGACTGGCCACTTTATTGGCCATTTGTCTGTAAGCTGAATCACTGAACTTGTCAATATGATGTTAACTAAATTATTGCTGGCAATTGCATGAGTTTGTTAAGGATTTAGTGAAATGCTATTAAATAGTATTTAATGAGCCTTCTGAAAAACTAAACTTAAAGACATTCAAATTTATTTTAGAGAGGAGAAAATTTTTCAGACTATACCAACAGTCTTTCCCAGAGTAAAGCCCTCTGAAACTTTCTTTGTAATTTTTAGAAAATAATTTGGCAGTTTGAATCGAGAGACTTAAAAATAGTTATATTCTTTGTCCCTATAATACCACTTATGAAAAGCTATCCTAAGGAAACAATCAAAAGTGTGATAAAAGATTTAATGAGTAGGATGCTCATTACAATATAATTATATAGGGAAATAAAAGGAAATAATACAAATGTCTAATATTAGATAATGGTTAAATATATCATCTCTATGTATTACAAGTCTACACTGTCATTAAAAATCATGTGCATTTCTAGAAGTATATATATATATATAATTTCACAGGAATTTTATACAAAGCCACTTTAGCTAACTTATCTCAACTTTTTAAAATGCATATACACAAATAGAAGATAAAAGACTGGTACATGATAACTAATATTAATATTTTGATATACCTCTAGTTTGTGGAATTTGAGTTTTTTTCCTTAAAATTTTTTCAATTACTCTGATTTCTAATGTATGATTGATTTGATTTTTTAAAATCATTTGCCAGTTTTCTTGTTTTCCTATTTTTCCTTTATGCCAGTACCAAACTTGAAAGCCAACTAAAATGAGGAATTGTAAAGATGATAAGAAATGAAAGAGAAGGCTAGCCTCTTGCCCCCATGTTAACTTGATTTTTACAGATATAAGAGTAATGTGTATCTTTCCCCAAAATATTCCAAAATAAACAAGCAGAAAACAACAACAACAAAAAAAAGTAGGATTTCTTGGAGCCTTATACCTTGCTTAATTTAAACTGTGGTTGGAGTATGATTTCACCTTTCAGAAATCACGAAGCTTCAAGTGAAGGTATTTGTCAGTGCCTGCCTTTTACAAGTGATAGAGAAAAACTAGTCCACTTAGCTCCTTTCAGAGTCTCTGAATGTCAAAGGAAGGAATATAGTGCAGTAGTAGCAATGAGAAGGTAAAAAATTTAGCACAGTATCTGAAATGTATTACAGGTTTAATACAAACAGGTTCTTCTAATAGAATAGCAATTATGTTTATATTAATGCATGTTTTATCTCATAAATTTAGATGCTTTATAATTAAGAGTACATTTTACTAAATTTTAGCTGTATTTGGAGGAAATACAGCTACCCTTACTGCCTACTCAAACTGTAAGATCTTATAAAACCATCTAATAATTATTTAATTATGACTGGCAATGTGTTACTAAATGTATGAGGTTATACTGTATAAAAGTCCTACCCCGTTTAATGGTGAATAGTAACCCTAGAGTCAAAGCTATTAGTTGACGTTCCCTTCCTAATGTTGCCACATTTTTAATCATATATATATCTGTGTATGTGTGCATGTGCATGTGTGTGTATGTGTGTGTTTATAAGATATGAAGGGATGGGCATATTTAATTGTCCTATCTTTTCTAGCTTCTATGGAGAGACTATACTTTAATAATAATTCTAAAAGCCCAATGACTTTCTGAAAAGATGGATATTTCTAAAATGTTCACATATGTCCCATTTCTGTTCTGCCTCTAGAAACATGACATAGATGGGTCTTAGCTTGCCAAAGATATTCTGAGAAGCACCATATTTTCTGAATCTTTGCCTGCTATTGCTAAGCCCTACAACTGGGGCCAAATCTTTTAAATTTTCCATTATTTCCTGAACACCTAATACTCAATGCTGAAACAAGCTACCTCTGCCTGGCTTTTTTATCTTCCCAATCAACATAAACTATTTGAATATTATTGAATAGGTTAAAATAGTATTTGGACCCATTCAGCTTCCACCTCTAAAACACCAGCTACCAATCACAGAAAATATTAACCAACAGTGAATTTGGAATGCCTCCAGAGAATCAGGATGAGAGTCAATCTCCTACCGACTTCTTAGACACTCATCAACTAAACTAGCCCTACTAATGCTTCTCAGTGTCACTGAAGAAGCTGCATAGAAAAAAAAAAATAGTACAAAATCATCTGTTAGGATGAAGAAGTTTCCATAATCACCTACATATTTGTTCCTTGCTCCCTAGGACTTTTTTTTTCTTTGCCATCCTCCCAATTATGCCATCTTCAGCTCCCACTTATGTCATTTGCAGCTGTAGTGGAGAGCATTTGTGCTCACTATATTGCAAAGGAGATGACCGCAAATAAGCCCCTGTGAAGCAACACGGTCTTTACACTGGAGCAGTTCTCTGGCTCCACGTTTCAATTCCTCCAATCTTCCTGTGAGATATTGACTTTTTCCTTTCTCTAATGTGTTGAAATATAAACATTTTAATAAGAATAGATATGAATATGGACGTTGAAAATAGGCAATCTAGGTTGTAAAAATGAATAATTTTATATTGGATGTAGTAACACATAATCATTTTGAAGAAGGGAAACATGTGGCTAGAAACCTGTTTATTTATTGTCCCTTCCTTAATATAAGGTGACCTGCGGTGACCTCGAGTGCCCTTCACAACATGTTTTCCTCATTAATATTTAGTGATTCTGAAAAGCTGGCCTGTGACTCAGAAGTTACGAATCATTTCTGGCCGGGCGCGGTGGCTCAAGCCTGTAATCCCAGCACTTTGGGAGGCCGAGGCGGGTGGATCACGAGGTCAAGAGATCGAGACCATCCTGGTCAACGTGGTGAAACCCCGTCTCTACTAAAAATACAAAACATTAGCTGGGCATGGTGGTGCGTGCCTGTAACCCCAGCTACTCAGGAGGCTGAGGCAGGAGAATTGCCTGAACCCAGGAGGCGGAGGTTGCGGTGAGCCGAGATCTCGCCATTGCACTCCAGCCTGGGTAACATGAGTGAAACTCCGTCTCAAAAAAAAAAAAAAAAAAAAAAAGAATCATTTCTTTAATGGTTGCAGAACGGACAGTCTAATACACACAAGTAGGAAGCAGAAACTGCTACCAAATATCTCTAAATCAGAAAGGCAGAAAGAACACAAGTGATTGTAAAAGAAAATATCACAGACAAAAAACACATTACCAAGTGAAACAAAAAAAAAGAATACTTATCAACTCTAAGAAAAAAGAAATATTGAGCAAAATTCTGAGAGAAAATTGCCATTATGAAAAGTATGTAACTACAGGGATCTCAAAAACAATCCACAAATGTTAACAGTTGACAATTAGAGTTATATGAATGATGAGTGAAGACCTGAAGATGTCATTTATTCATTAAAAAGAAGCAGTTATCTATCGTGTATATTCTTGGGCTATGAGTCCACCTCTCATCTTCTGGATCCTTTGTTTATATAGCCCACCAGTGTGGGCTTTACTATTCTAATATGGATTTGTTTTTCAAAATCATTAAGATCTTTATACTATTACTCTCTCTTTGAACCTAAAATACGTAGCCAAGAAAGCTTGTTTGTATTCTGTTTAGAAAGTGGGTATTTAATTAGTGCCACTTCTGTAAACACACGTTTATACTAATTACACTTGTTACACATCACCTCCAACTATACCTTTAGCAACTAAATGACTCTTCCTCATCAGGTATCATTTATGTCTTGTTAGTATCAAGAGGAAATGAAATGAAGTCATACCCATTTAATTTCCCCTCAGGACTCTAAAGTTTAGTTACTATATTGATGGTGCTTGTTTGTAACGTGAAGCATTAGGAAAAAAATGAATAATTTAACAACATTATATAAAGTGATGAAAGCATGTTGCTACAGTCTGCTGTATCATGTATATACTTCTACCATAATGCTGGGAAAAAACATGCTAAAATAAGAGTACAATAACAAAAATATATACCTCCAAGAAAGATGCCTTTGTTATTGTACTCTTTCTTGAAGGTATATACTAGCTAAGATTTTTTTTCCTCCCACCCTACATCTTTCTCTCCCTCCTTTCTTTCCTCCCTCCCTTTCTTCCTTCCTTTCAATATTCCTGACAGGTACTAAGCACAAAACCATGCTAGAAGCCCGGAATGGAAGTGGCACTATCAAAGCCTTTCCTAGGGCAGGAGTGAAAGGCAAAGGACCTGTTAATAAAGGAAACACAGGCCTCCAAAACAAAACATTTCACTGTGAAATCTGTGATGTGCACGTCAACTCGGAAACACAACTTAAACAGGTAAGCAGCACGTATTCTAGGAATGAAAACCAACAGGGGACACCCTTATAAGCAGGATGTGTGTGCTTTTCTCCTTTTTGTTTCTGTCTTTCTGTCCCGTCCACCCATCTATTCACCCATTTCTCCATTTACCCATCTATTAACCCACTTATCTTCTATTCACTGTCCTGATTTATTTATGCTTATTTTAGTTGCTTGAGGAAATACTAAAATGTAATGGATTCTGCAACCTTTCGGAAATTGTTGGCAGTGAGTTTTTACTATTCTTGTATATGAAGAGTGGGTGGAGAAGGGATATCAGATCTTTTCTCCACCAGACTTTCCACTCAAAAGTGTTGATTTTCTTTAAAGGTCAACTTGCAGTATTCCATTTTTATTTACATGCTACAACTAATTTTACACTGTGCTATTCTTTTATTTTATGTGTTTTATTATATGGTGTTGTGCTGTATGTTTAGCCCTTGCAGCCACCTGCTAAAGGGATGACTAATCATGTTTTGTATTCATTTTTACTATGAACAGCCTTCCAAAGAGATCACTTATACATTGCCAACTAAAGGTCCAGCCCTCATGTTGTATTTTGTTTTTTTATATATGTATGATATTTTGCTGATTTTATGCACCTTAGTTATTTATCTTTAGAATTTAAGGGTTTGACATTTGACTGTACAAATGTGAGGATAAACATTAGTATGGAAATACATTCACTCCTTCTTGGGCATCTTTGTTTATTTGCATGTAAAATTCCTTTAGACATTCCTTGCCTTTGTAAATGCATTTCTAAAAAAAGAGATGTGTGCAGTGTTAAGAAGAAAAGCTAGGATAAAAGACACTTTTATTTGTTTAAAAATATACTAAAATGGATAGCAAAAACATATATTGGAGAGCATAAAATATATATCCTCAAGGCATCAGAATTCTAGGACAAAAGTGCATGATCTTTTATTTTTGTCTTTCTGAAATTTGCATGAAATAATCAGTATCCTTCCGCAGGTTAAAGCAATATTTGTGAGAGGTTTTTTTGCAGATGGCTTTTTAAAAACTGTCATTTTTAATTACTTTTAATAGCACATTAGCAGTAGAAGGCACAAAGACAGAGCTGCTGGGAAGCCCCCGAAACCTAAATACAGTCCTTACAACAAACTACAGAAAACAGCACATCCACTGGGGGTGAGTGTCACTTTGCAAGAGTACAACCTCTATTCTCAAATGGAATTACTGGTTTCTTAATTTCTTCAGACATTCTGCCACCTTTAACCACAGCCAAGTACCTTTTACCTTTTTGAGTTGAGCTCAGGTTTATCATAGGTCACAGGGAAAAGAGAAAAGCCAAACTCTTTTTTTTTTTTTTTAATTATACTATAAGCTCTGAGGTACATGTGCAGAACATGCAGGTTTGTTACATAGGTATACACATGCCATGGTGGTTTGCTGTATCGATCACCCTGTCATCTACATTAGCTATTTCTTCTAATGCTATCCCTCCCCTATCCCCCCACCTCCTATTATCCCTCCTCTCTAGCCCCCAACACCCCCGACACAAGCCCTGGTGTGTGATGTTCCCCTCCCTGTGTCTGTGTGTTCTCATTGGCCAAACTCTTTTGAGTCAAGTAAGCAATCCCATGAAATCTGGTCTTGACTTATGTAGGTACTTTTGGAAAGAAGGTCAGCGAAAAACAAATTCTTGTGTATCTTTTTAATATGTTTAAGAGCAAAGTATTGGTATTGTAGCCTCAACAATTTTGGATTTTGAATAACAGTCTCAAAGATATAGGTTATTTTATTTAATTACTCATTCAAGGAAACTCCATAAAACCCAAGGAAATATTTTGTAGGAATTTCCTCTCCCCATGACTACAAATAAGCTTTTCATATTACTAAGTATGCTATTATAATGTCCTGACCTGGACGTTTTGGTAGGACTTTAGAGGAAATCTGTGAAACCTCCTGGTATTGTAGATTAATACTGATGAACATGTAAGAACAACTGATCTATAATATAAGCTGAATTGTGCATTTTGAAACATTTATTCAAAGTAGATCTTATTACTATTTGGTGCTGTTGTGTGTAGCCAACACATGAAAACATAACTAAAGGAAAACTGCAATTATCTATTGTGAGACCCCACTACAGGCTGACCTGTTGGTTTAGTAACATTGCCCATTTTTGTTCAAATGAAGTTATTATAATTTTTTATCCTGAAACTTTGCTGAAGTTGTTTATGAGCTTAAGGATCTTTTGGGCCAAGACTGTGGATTTTTCTAGATATAGGATCATTTTGTCTGCAAACAGGGATAGTTTGACCTACTCTTTCCTATCTGGATGCCCTTTGTGTTCTTCTCTTGCCCGATTTTCCTGGACAGGGCATGAACGGAAGTGGTGAGAGAGGGTACCTTGTCTTGTGTCAATTTTCAAGGGTAATGCTTTCAGTTTTTTCCCATTCCGGATGATGTTGGCTGTGGGTCTGTCATACATGGCTCTTATTATTTTGAGATTGGCTGTGGGTTTATCATACAAGCTCTTATTATTTTGAGATATGTTCCCTCAATACCTAGTTTATTGAGAGTCTTATCATGAAGGGGTGTTGAATTTTATTGAAAGCCTTTTCTGCATCCATTGAGATAATCTTGTGTTGTTGTCTTTAGTTCTGTCTATGTGATGAATCACATTTACTGATTTGTGTATGTCGAACCAACCTCTCATCCCAGCGATAAAGCCTAATTCATTGCGGTGGATAAGTTTTTTGATGTGCTGCTGGATTTAGTTTGCCAGCATCTTGCTGAGTTTTGCATCAATGTTCATCAAGGATATTGGCCTGAAGTTTTCTTTTTTGTTGTGTCTCTGCCAGGTTTTGGTATCAGGATGATGCTGGCCTCATAGGATAAGTTATGGAGAAGTTCCTTCTCAATTTTTTGGGATGAAATAATCTGTACAACAAACCCCCATGACCCAAATTTACCTATATAACAAACATGTATATGTACCCTTGAATTTAAAATAAACGTACAAAAAGTGAAGTTATTTTACTCTTCCGTAAAGATACAATTTTAGCTGCAATTGGGAGGTGAAGAATTTTGCACAGTGGTTATAATTCAGCACCACTAGTCATAACCCTGAATGCTATCTCTGTCCAGCATAGATGCAGATTTTGACAAGCAAGTGAATGGTTCTTAAACAAACAGACTAGTCAAAATTGTGTTGCTATCAGTATGCAAACCCTCCTTCTTAACTATCACTATGTTAATGACCCCACAAATGGGAACATTCTCTCAGGGAGAACAGGTATATTATTGATATTACTAGGTTTTGTAGAGAAGGATTGAGAAAATGTGGTTACCATTTACGCAAAGAAAAAGTGGGAACTTGTCAAAATTTAGGAAAGACAAGTTTTGTTTTGTTTTGTTTTGTTTTTTTACTTCTTTATTGAATGTGGAGTTTTGTTGTTTTTATTTCTTTTGAATAGTACCTCATGCAATTAGAAACAACATTCTCTATGTAACCCAGGTTACACACTTGGATAGATGAATGGCATTTGACAGCATTAAAAATCTCTTTAAAAACGTATGCTCTTTAACAGTTAATATATATGTAAAGGGTGATTTGAAAAATTCTATATTTTCTCACGATGAATACTTTTGATGAAAAGTGTAAAAGTGAAAAGTGTAATTTTCAACAAACATAAAACAAAATAGTGTTGCTGAGTACTTTTCTGAAGAAATTTTCAGCATACCTGGTTGGCCATTTTCAAGTCTCTTCCAACTCTTCCAAAGGGAAAATGTTCTATACTTTCCATTTTCTTTGTTATCAGTTCACAAGTGTGAAGCTTTTTTCTTTATAGTTGTTTACTGCTATATTTTAAAGGCTCCTTACCATTTTGGGTTTTCAGTTCAAATTCCAAAACTGTTGTTCTTTTACAATATTTTTTCTCCCTTGCAGGTAAAATTAGTATTTTCAAAAGAACCTTCAAAGCCATTGGCTCCACGAATTCTACCAAATCCTCTAGCAGCTGCAGCAGCTGCAGCAGCAGTGGCAGTGAGCTCCCCCTTCAGCCTTCGAACTGCTCCAGCAGCAACACTGTTCCAGACTTCTGCGCTTCCTCCAGCACTCCTGCGGCCAGCTCCTGGACCCATTCGGACCGCCCATACTCCTGTGCTGTTTGCTCCTTACTAAATTCCAAATAGGAGTAATTGTACTGCAATAATTTTACAAACAAAACAAAAGAGAACTATGCAGTGTTTATTTATAGTTTAAAGTATATCTGAAGAGCCAGGACTTTTGACAGTGAATTGAAAAGGTTACAAAAAGGGGGGGGGAGGTGGGGGGGAGGGAGGGAGTGATATTTTCTCCAAATTAAAGCATTCCTCTTGAACGTTGATTGTTTTAGAAGTGATCTCCAGCATTGATTTGTAGTGGTATCTAGAACTTCTGAAACCTCTGTGACTGTGCTTTTGGGCACTATTTCCCTCTGCATTGTCTTTCCTGCTTTATGAAACAACTATACATTGTCTAAGGGCATTAACTGGTTCCAATGTATATACAATAATTTACTCTGTAGATTAAAATAATACAAAAAAGGAAAAAAAAAAACAAAAACAAAAACAAAAGCAACACTGTGAATAGTACTACCCATGCTGGTCCTGTTGCTATGACAGCAATTACTGGGTATTTACCCCAACAAAAGTAGATACAGTAGATGTCTTGTAAAACAATAGTGCTGTGTCTCAATCTATGCCACTAGGTTTTAAAGAATCGCAAAGGTAGAATGAACAACTATTTCATACCAATAAGCAGTCAAAAAACAAACATACATCAGATGGTGTCATGGAGGTCTCCCTGGTTAGCATTCTCCCCTCCTGTATAGTTTAAAGATATAACAGAGTTGAGCTTAGAGATGGGGGAGGCATTAATAAAGGTGATTTCTTACAAAGTACTAACTTCCCATCCTGAAGATATATTGCTGGAAACTGGGAAGTGTTTATAATGAATCTACATCTGAAAACAAATAAACCCATGCATCATGGGTGTTAAGAAAGAAATCAGTATAACTCTTCTGTTTCAAGGATGAAGGATTATAATGTAGAATGGCAATGTAAAGTCCAGATCTTTCACGTTAGTACATATCCAATAAAAACAGAGAATATTGCATCTCTGCAGTATCCCCTTTATATCACACCAGTAGGATTGTTTCTTAGGCAAAGGTCTCTGCTTTAAGTATGATGGTAGAATTCAGCATTAGCTATTTTTATCGGTTTTTCTTTTTTTTTTTTTTTAGATTTCCTGCTGACATGATATAAACAATTAATATATATTTAAATCTTAATAACAACAGGAAATATGAATCTGAGTTAATTGCACACCAGTGACATAGTGTTAAAAAATACTGGTAAGTTCCACTTAACAATTATTTCTCCAGTGGAGCTGTGAAATACTGACAGCCTTTGACATTCACCATCAGGCTGAAAGAAGTTGATGTTTTACCTTTAAAACAAGATTTATCAGGGGTATATATAAATATATGTATATTGTATATATGTTAGAAAGATTAAGAGAATAACTTATAAAAAGAAAATCTATATAAAATAATTATATAACCATCCAGTGTTACATGTTATCATTTAATTGGTAACAGATGGCATAAAAATAGCTGTGCCTTTAATTTGTGATAAAGGCTATTTGCTTTTTCCCATAGAAAGCTAAAATATACCTATCGATATGGTGGGGTTTGATGCAGCCAGTCTGTTGCGTTAATAGGAACAATGACATTCAAACTTAGAATAATGGCCAAACATACATGATTTAGGTTTAAAGAAAAAAAAAACTATTTTTGAAAAAGTTTTGTAAAGACTATTTAAAAATATAGGGAAGGATTGGGTGTGGCCTTCCTGAAACTGCTCTCAAAGTGTTGTAACACTTGGAGAGGTATAAAGAATCAAGTGGAAACCATTTGAGAGATAGGTATTTGGCATTTATCATTTTATATTTAAGAAACACCCATAGCGTGCTTGGTGCTCAACATTAAACATGGTTTTTGGAGTTCTTCTCTACCATCTAGCTATAGACATTTGTCATCTAAATCAATCTTTAAAGCATTTGGCTTTATATATCTTTTGTTAAACAACCAACCAAAAAAAAAAAAAAAAAAAAGGAAGGAAGGAAGGAAAGAGGGAAGACAATGTGTTCCATCAGTATTCTGGTAGAAAGAATTTCAAACAATGCTTCTCTGGTTAAACATATTGATTAGCATTAAAATTTGCTTTAGAAAGTGTTTTCATTAACCAGCATCTCTATTCTCTGGTTTTAGCAAGTGTTTTCTTTCTCACCTACAGACCCTGCTAGTTCAGCCTGGTGGATAGTTGCCGGCAAGTTTGTTGTTTGGGGCTCTGTCTGTATCCCATGAGACCAGTTTCTAACCGTTTTGAACTTTAGTTTGTCTTTTCTGCTATGTCAAATATATTGATTTTCCATAGTCATCCTGAATCCCTATCCAACAACCTTTACAACTGATAGAGCCTCGCTTTCTGTTAGAGAATTTAGTGTTAATTAATGCAATCTCACTAAATTGTGCTTTTGTTGTTGTTCTCCATTTTCACCAAAGTGAATGAATGAGCCAGTCCACTAGAAATCAGGGCCTGTGGGATACACAGGGTCCTGGATCACAAGGCATTACTAACTTTAATGATTTGCTGGGAACAAACAAATCAGCCATATTTTCTCCATCAGCCATATGAGGAAACTCAGAAATACCTGAATCCCTTCTGCCTCACTTCGCTATGGAACCATTTTTGTTTAAATGGTCTTTTAAATTGGAGTTGTAAGCATCAGTTGTCTTTTACTCACTACCTAATAAAGGATGAAGCCTAACCACAGAACTTATAGTGGATTCTCTGTGAGTTGTTTCCCCACACTCCATATATTTATCAACACCAGATTAACATCCATTATAGTTCAGGCTGCCATAAAGCTGTATGTTTTCCCTTAGGGAGCTTTTTTCATGAATAAAGATCCACAATTTAGATTGGTCAGCAGTGTGCTGTGAAAATCCCTGAGGGTGGTCTGACTTTAAGGCTATACATCCCTTCCATGCATCACACCCATGGCAAGGAAAGTGATGGAGAAAGCAGCTCTGATTCATTTGAAACAAATATAAATGCACTGCAAGAGCCAAATGCCTCTGGAAAAAGCATTGTTGCACCTCAACCAGATCATCCAGACAAATGGGAAACAGTCATTGGGGAGGTACTGTATTTCTCTCAAGAGAAAACAGGCGATTATGCATGATAAATTGCTCCTCTCACTGGACCTAAACTTTGAAGAGTACTTGTTTTATTCACATAAGCAAACATAGTTGGCTTTTTGCAATTTATGTCACTCCTGCCTCATTTGAAAGGATTTCTATCTTTAGGTACTATTGGGCTTCACCTGATCTATTGCAGTAATTCATTGCCATTATCATCAGAGATGAAATTTGTTTTTTTTTTTCTAAAGGTCCTACATATTTTATTGCCAAGAAACTAGTTAGCAAAGAGAGTGTTTACATGTATTTGAAAATTGCAGGAAATCATAAAAGACTGACAATGAAAAGACAGCAGAAGTTTCAAAACGGAATCAAAGTGGCTGTGCCTATTTGAGTTTCTAAGGCACAAACCAAAACATAGTAGACATGAGCATTAAATATCACTTATTACAATTAAATTTTAAGTTAATATCTTTGTCTTTGTACCTGTGTAATGTTTCAATTGTTCTGAAGAAATCAGATCACAAATCTAAAGATAACTAAGGTGATATGTAGGCCTCTTTCTTTAAACCTGAATTGATATAGAAAATTACCTTTCTATACTTAAGCATGGATGACATTGTATTAATAACTATGTGTGCACCTAAAAGCAGAATGAAGTGGTGGGGAAAGCAATCAGGAGCCTTAAAGAAGCCAGAGCCTATTTCAGACTCTGTCCCTGACCAACAGGGTAACTTAGTCAACTCATGCCTTGCCCTTAATTTCTTCTTTGGTAAAATAGATGATGGTGATTAACAGCTAAGCTGGTTTAATATATCAGCACTAGAGGAGTGCTGCTTTTATCCTCTCAGGAATAAAAATTCTTTATTTGAGTGACAAATACAGCTACTCACATACTTGCATGCGTCCAGAAAAATATTCTGTATTCCTTTCCATCCTGAGTGTAAGCCACATTGGTAGGTCATTCATCTGCTCAACCAGAATGTACATTTCACCAACTAATATCGGAGTAGTGGCTAATTCACTGAGTACTCACTTATTATGACTCCACTTATACCAACATCACGTAAGATATGCTATTTCTATTTTCCCAGTCAAGAAGGTAATAAATTCTGAACAAAACCAACCCTGAAAAGGCCAATGGAAAGCTGGAAGTGGGGATGTGGAAGGAACAATTTAAACACATCATCCTTATTTATTTTGTTACATTTTCTCTCTTCAATAGGAAGGGGTCCTGACTAAGCCATAACTAATTCTGTCCTTAGTTTGCATGGTCATCTTATTAAGACCAATTCTTCTACAGACAAGTATATCAGTTATGCATTTCTATCACTGTTACAAAAATTATTTAAACTGAGTCCTAAAAGTGAAATTTTTACCTAACTTTTGCTGTTTTCTATTTTTATTTTTTTCCTAAATGGGGAGATTTATCTCTGGAGCATCTCTTGTGTTTTTGTACAATATGCTTAGTAACTAGAGAGGCTATTTTCAGAAAATGAAATGGATCATTTCTATAGTTGGTCTCCATTGTCTACATAGTATTTCTGAGAGTGGTATCAGGGTGTCCAGTGAAGGATGGATATGTTGACATGTCATGATCATGTGGCCCAAAGGTTGTTACTGCCAAGAATGGACTTACAGCTTACCAGAATGTGCATGGTGACGAAAGGCAGGTTCTGCTCTGAAAAAATATCATATGTTATTCTATTAGAAGTTCATGCAGGTCATGAAGAGTCGCAGAGTTTAAAGAACTCTCTGGTTGGCTCATCAATGTTCAGATGTCAAAAGACTGAACATTACCTACAATTTTAGGGTCTTCTCTTTCTTTATCTCAGTGATGGAAACTCATCCTTCCTAGGTGCCTAAGTTGATGGTAGAAACTGCTAAAGTGTATTCGACAAATAAAGTAAAATCTGATTATTAATATGTATGATCAGGTAGAGTAAATTAAATTTTGGTTAACTAAGAGCAAAGAATGGGGTCATGTTATTTTCAAGACTGGCAGCTCATCTCTAAAGGCAATTTTTAAAGAGTAGGGCTAAAATGATTTGTGAGCAAAGAAGTATAATTAAAAATAAGTAATAGTACAGTGACATGTTCTACGGTTAATGCTTACATATACACATATGCACATACAGAATTGTAAAAATAGGAGTCTTAGTACCTGTCATCCTTTCACAAAGCCATGGTAAAATCATTTTATTCTCAATGATTAGGTTGGTTTTACTTTAGGAAAAGGAACTCCAATTTCACACTTGGGAATCTTAATTATTTTAGGGCATTGGAGGGGTTGGGAAGCAGACATAATGGTAAGGTACTATGCTCTCTAGCAAGGTTATTATGCTAACAGTTTGAGTTGGGTAATGCAATTGTCTCATTTCACATCAGCTACTGACTTGGAGTATAGAAATCAAACCCTTATAAAATCTTCCTCAAATCCAAGTAGTTTGCAGGACATGGTATAACAACACTAAGGAAAATTAGCAGAGTGAGCCTTAATTGGAAACCCAGATTGTATTTTTGTCAGTATAACAATTATTATTTTTAAAGTCTCTCAGTAATAGGATTGTTCAACATAAATCTATTGAGAAACAATGATGTCAGAGAGTTTTGAAGCTATAGTGAAAGTGTGGTGAATTTTCTTAGCCAAAATAATAATGTGGGTTTTATTGGACATTTGTCAACCCAAGTTAATACACATTATTGCATAATTCCAGCATGGGACACTAGGACTAGGGGCAACTAATATTGGATAAAGACCCTTCATGAGATGCTTTATGTCTCGTGTGATGTTATGCTAACATTAGTAGAGATGAAAAAGAAATTAAGTTTGTGAGGTACTGGAAAGTTTAACTTTTATCAAATAGTAAGAAGAATTCCGTTTGATGGCATCTGGTTTTTAAATGAATTATAGAAAAATGTGTGGAAGTATTGGATATTGGAGAAAAAGCCTTGTGGCCAAGGGATCTGGGCACAAGATCGAGCATCACAGAACAGTGAGCACAGTTGTTGGCTTCACTACCAATCAACTATGAGGAAACTGCGCCAATTCACTTAACATTTTGTTGATTCTCTCGATAAAAATAGGGATAATGACTGATTACAGAAATGTGCTTTTAAAAAAGCTGAATTTAGCAAAAGCAAGTCATTTGCTACTCAAAATAGATCCAAAATCTAAGCCATATTTCTATAAATTTCAATAAAATTGTTTTAAAATGTGAATTGTAGTTACAGTGTTTATATTACTAAATATTTAAAATGGAACTGACCTGATGCCAAAGCTACATCATATGTAGCTATATTAGCTGTCTGTTTATCCTGAAAAAAGGCTGGAGTGTTTTTAAAAATATATTTTTAAATCTGCACATGGAGGTATATGCAAAGAACATTGTTTATTTGGGAAATATTTTTTGTCATAGTTTCTTTCATTTATTTCTTCAGCTGAAATCTTATGTCAGTTTCAACTAAGGTCTCGTTACTTTAGTCAATACTTTCTTCTAATAATATTTAATTCACTGGAATTTTATAATAAATTTTAAATTAACTCCTAAGTGTGGTTAGTTGAGGAAAATTTAATATTATCCAATGTATGATGAAATATTCAGGTTTCACAAAAACTGGATGCTTGGCTATTTTTCAATGGTTATTCTTCACAATAGAACTACAAACAGACTGTGTCAAATAAATTGACTGATAAGTATGTCTATTTACTAACATGAGCCAAGTTGAACTTTACTTGAGAGATCTAAAGATAGTTAATACACATGCATTTAGTGACTATAAGTTGAAGGCAATATTCTTTTGACAACCAAATTTATTGAAAACTTTGGCATTAATGTTGGCAAAGGTGAGCACTATTTCGAAATTAAAAATAGACTATGGTTTGCTCTGCACGTTTGTGACCCTGCAAAAAACAAAAAAAAAGGAAAAATATTCATGTGATTTTTCTCTTCTCATATTCTTATGACTTAAAAAATATAACTAGAGTTTTATCTAATATCAATATTTTGGCAAAGGATCACATAAGGTTTTACCTGCTAACAAGAATACCTCATTTGAAAGAGCACCTCTACAAGCATTGGAGGGAGGTACAGTTGACATGGTGAATTTGATTTCACAAAAACTAACAAAGCTAGGAGGCAAAGCACTGACCTGAGTATAATCACTAGTCACATCGATGTGAGATTCTGAATCATCAGTCAGCCACAGTGATGCCACCACGGTGTCAAACTTGCCTGTTCCACCTTTATCTGTACATCTGGAAGTCTGACTTGAGCACCAGAAGCCAAAATGCTCAGAATGCTAATTTGTGCCAGCTTATTGGCCCATGTGTTCAGTAAACAAATTTGCTTTTTACATCTCGTCAAATCATACTGAATAAACCTTTCATCAGAGGTTCTACATATCCCCAGGTGGGCTTGGAATCTTGAGATGGGATTTTATTTTGTTTTATGTTATGATAGTTGAATGATGATTCTATATGTTATTATTATATTTGTTTTCATTAAAAACCCAAAGAACTATTATACCAGTAAAGTACTATTTTTTCTTGAAAAATGTAATAATAATAATTAAGATAATTCACACAGTTTGTTTTTGCCAGTCTTCTACGTTAAGTCATGTGATAACATCTCTCCAAACATCAATTTCTCACCCTATAGGACATGTGATAAAATCCCCCATAAGCCAATAATTTGCCCCACTAGAAAATGAAGCTTCTTTCAATATTATTGACTCAGAAATGTAAAATATAGCACAGTTTATCTTGTTTGTGGTACTGTACTAAGTTAAACTTGCAGCTGTGAACATATTAATATTTATTTTTATCAGGAATTCTTTAAGATGAACCTTTCAGTTTCAATAAAGGAAAGACACTAGTGATACTTTCATGTGATGAAAGCTCTCTGGTTCCTTTAGCAACTCTAGGATCATCCTTAGCCATTATCTCCTTTCTCTTTGACAATATCAAAACTGTCCAAGTAAATGTAACATTGCCAGTGGTGTCAGGAAATTGGTTTATGTCATTATTCTTCACTTGGATTGTGGAATCAAAATGATTGCTTATTTTCCTCTCTTCCATAGATAATCCATAGGCAATGTATTCAATTTGGGGAAATCTTTTCCATCTTGGTTTAAGTTTGATGGCTCTAAGGAAGAGGAATATTAGGACAAATTATGTATTCTATATGTTCTACTGTTTGTAATATTCTCCTGTTCGAGTTATGATAAACCTATATAACAACTGTTCCAAGTGCCAAGTAAGAATTGTAGTGACTCACAGAACATATGTCCCATGACTATTTATCAAAAGAAATGTGTTGATTAAAGAAAAAAAGTAAAAAAATTTATTTTCATTCAGTTCTGAATGATGCTTGTTCCGTGACCTTCTTTCTCCCTTGCTAAACAAGGTTAGCATTCTCATACTTTAACTGACCACTTAGAGCATTTTAGTCAAATGCAAGGCAAAAAAATCATGTTACCCATAACTTTGAATCCTTGTGGTTGGCCTTTGCTAAAATAAAATTTTAGTGAAGACAAGGGGTTGCAAGATGATAGCCTATGTTTCCATAGGGCAGAATTTTTTTAAAAAATTTTTTTGATTAGTTCCCAAATATCTTTGAAAAAAGTGTTTTTAAAATGAGAATTTCTATAATTTATTTTCTATGTACTACTAGAGACTGATAAAACCTGGTGGATAGAGAATATCCAACCTTGAACCTTTGGAAAAATCGTTTATCTACATTTAAAATTCTATAAGCCCATAAAAACATGTTAACATCAACACATGGAAAAGAAAATGTTGTGTTGCAATAAGTTCTCACTCATGTTCAAGCACAACAGGAGACACAAAGGATGTGAACCAACAAAGATTTTCTTTAACTGTCTCTGAATATACCATGAATACTATACCAAAAATGAAAGGCATCATATTGAAATTCAAAGCCATGACTATTCAACAAAAATGATTGTAAAAAAAAATTATTATCCATACAGTATATACGTGCTGCCAAATTGAGAATTATCATTGCTAAATTATTTTAGTCTATACTGACAGGTCAAAATAATTTATCGGGCTCATTAAGTAATAGCTTTAATTATGTATCAGCTCAGAGCAGATGAATATGAAAGACAGCAGCAGCATTTTTCTATGCCTATCATTTATTACCAGAACCACATTTAAATCAATGTGAATCTTACATAAGTGTATAATAAAGGTTGGACCTTTTGATGTAATAATGATGCAACACAACTGTACTCCTTGTATACATTATAAGGTGGAAAGTGGGAAGGAATATTCTGCCTAATGCTACATGTTCATATCAATCTGTCACTGTAAAATTTTTTAGACACCAGAGCCCCAGAGACTGTAGACTCCACAAATGTCCTGACTCCTATGTGGTCAAATTCCAGGTTCACCTTTTTACAAAGCCAGCCCTTTCTTCCATGTTATTTCAAAACACATTTCTGGTGTTGATACCAATTCTCCATCCCAGGGGAGAGATATGTATGGATGACACACCTTATTTCTAAAAGAAATCTAGTTCATGTGTTCAAAACTTATTTTACTAGAAAAGAAGGAATGTATCAGCAAGTACCTGGAACTTTCTCTACTGCTTTCTAAGGCTGGCATCTTTATATTTCATCTTCACACACACACACACACACACACACACACACACACACACACACACACAAAAGCGGAAATAGTACTAAAAAGATGGGAAGAAAAAGGAGAAGTGGAAGAATAAAAGAGTTAGACATGATGTAACATTATAAAAACAACCTTAATATGCCCAGATAAACATAACTCTGACAGGAGACTTAATGAATAGACTTCGTGGCAAAAACAGTAGTAAACATTAAAGCCACAGAAAGGATTATATGCCTAAGGGAAAAATAAACATTACTTCCAAAATAAAATAAAGTAAAATAAAATGAGAATTTCTGGTTTTCCTTGAAAAGTAAAAAAATAAAAAAAAAAATAAAAAAAAAGAACATGAGAGCCCTGGTACCACATTTCCACAGGCAATTATTAGCTGCAGAACTAGCTAAATGAACTATGACTGACCCCTTTGGACTAAACAGAATTTTACAAGTTTCTGCAATCTGTGCTTGGAGTCCCCAGTCCTTGCTTTTTGCCAGTCCCTGTAATCAGTGTGGCTTGCAACCTCCAGCATGGCTTGTTGGTTCTTAGCCACCACATACACTCTTTTGCTAGCTAGTCTTCAGGGTCTTCTCCATCCCTCTACCTTCTCTCTCAGTGGGTTCTCCTGTAATGTTTTTATTATTATTTTGGATAGGCATTTTCAATAAGAGGAGATTTTTTACAAACAACACCTTCAATAAAGGTTTTCTCTACCAGAATATGACCTGTGACAAATTAATGACTTGAGTGTATGTGGGATGTCTTAACAGTTGACACCTAGGAAAGATTTGATTTGGCTTAGGCAATAGGTGACTGCATCAGGAAACAAATTCTATCATTTTCTTTGTATTTCTCTACAGGAAGGTTTGGCTTTTGCTAATAGTAGAAATTGGACTTTAGGAAAAAGACCAAACATTTTTCACATGAAAACAAGTTCTTAACTATTTAATCATCTCTTTAAGTTAGACACGAAGAAAATTTAGAAATACATTTGTGGAATACATTCTGATTCTTTAGAGGGCCACCGACACTCTCCTCCACTACATGTAAACTGTCAGATCATAAGTTTGAAAAAAATCCATACAAAAGTGTTTTATCAACTTTCAAAATAACCCCCATTTCCCCACCCTTACGAACTGCATTTAAAACGTAGAATTATCCATGGCATGCTAAATAGCTATCCTTTTCATCTGCTTACAAGATAAACTGACCCAATTGACATTGATAGTTTTGAAATCACTAATTATCTAATAGCAAAGTATTTTTCATATTGTTTTGCTTAGAAATAAAAAATAGGACTGTTCATAAGTTTTGGTTGAGTATTCCAAGCCAGAAAGCCCTTGCCGCTGCTGGATTTGGAACGTCCAGTAACATACACCTTCACATTTCTCCAAGTGTGAAACCCAAGCATTATGAATAATTTCTGGCCAAGATCTAAGTTGTTCATGGGATTTCTAAACATAAGCTTGGAATTGTTATGCTGAAGCAAAAATGAAGTGTCAGGTAAGGTCTGATGCTGGGGAAACAATTAGAATGTTACTGAATTACTCTCCTATTAAAGAGTTCACCTTCACCTTCAAAAGCTAAATATCAGTTTATCATGTTTTATTCATTAATTAGAATTATTTTGTAGAGTGTCAAAGCGTTTCAGGTGGGTTAGGTTATGGTGGAAAAGACTAGATAAACACACCCTCTGCAAGTTTGTGATTTATTTAGCCAAAGATGCAGAACTTAAGGGTAGCAAAATACTATACAGGCTGGTAGAAAACGAGGTCTATGTTGGCCACGGTTTCCTTTCCTCTACATTCCTTTTAGGTGAGACGTAGGAGCGACAGGGCCACAGTCACCAGGGGTGCTTGGTACAGATACGGCTCTGCCAGATTTATTTAGGAAAGCCTATTTTATGCTAACCCACTGCCATTGTATACGCAGGTATATTAGTTTCCTTGGGCTTCTGAAACAAATTGTCATAAACTTTGCTGGCTTAAAACAATAAAAACTTTAGTCTCTCACAGTTCTAGAAGCAAGAAGTCCAAAATCAAAGTATTAGTAGGATTGATTGCTTTCTTACATGATCAGAGGAAGATTTTTCCGTGTCTCAGTCTTCTGGTGGTTGCTGGCAATCCTTGGCATTCTGTGGCTTGTAGATATGCACACCAATCTCTGCCTTTGTCATTCATTGGACTTGTTCCTATGAACTTGTTCCTATGTGTCTTCACGTCCTTTGTTTCTCTGCATGTTTGTCTC